GTCTATGTTTTTCAGGAACAAAAGGTCTTGGGCGTCCTGTGGATATGTCACAAACAATGAGACTGTCACAGTTGAGGAGCGGTAGTGTGACGAATTTGAGAGATGGAAGGCTGGAAAATTTGGGGAATTCGGGTTCTAATTGCTGATCAGAGGCAATGGCTTGTAGAACGATTGGAATCGTTGCTATGTTGTTTATCTCAGTGCGGGAGAGGGCGTCTGCGACGACGTTTTCAGACCCTTCGATGCAGCGTATTTCAGTTGTAAACTGAGCAATAAAATCTAAATGTCGGTTCTCTCGCGGTGAATGTTTGTCTTGAGATGTTCTCAAGGCAAAAACGAGAGGTTTATGGTCCGTGTAGATAGTGAAGTTTCTTCCTTCGAGAATGTATCGAAAATGCTTGACCGCTAGATAGATCGCTAGGAGCTCTCTACCAAAGGTGCTGTAGCGGGTTTGTGCGGGTTGCAGTTTGCGAGAGAAGAAACAGAGGGTTTGAATGCTGTCATTCACTACCTGCTGAAGGACCGCACCAACAGCGGTCTGTGATGCCTCCGTTTTTAGTATGAGTCGGCAATCAGGACTGGGGTTCAAATGACCCAGGGTGGTGACTTCCGAAAGGGCGGTTTTAATGGCGTTGAAAGCAGAGGTGGCTTGGTCATTGAATTGTAACCGTTTGCTGTTTGCTTTGAGCAGGTCTGTTAGCGGTGCGAGGATCTCTAAGCAGTGTGGGATGAATCTGCCGTAATAGTTGATCATACTCAAAAATCGACGAAGGCTTCGAATTGACTGGGGTAAGGGGTAGTCCAAAATAGCAGTGGTTTTATCTGGCAGCGGCCGGAAGTCAAGCTGGTCTGCTGCGAAAACACACTTATCTGGATTGATAGTGATACCATATTGTTTGAAACGTTCGAAGACGGCTTGTAAGTGTAATTTGTGTTCTTCGATCCTTTTGCTTGCCGCCAACACATCGTCAATGTAAGCAAAAACGTGGTCTAAACCACGCAGTACCTGGTCTATGAAGCAATGGAACGTTTGAGCGGCGTTCCGAAGACCAAAGGGCATGCATGTGAATTCGAACAGACCAAAGGGTGTAGTAATCGCCGTTTTGGGAATGTCGTTAGTGGCAACCGGTATATGGTAATAAGCTCGGACGGGGTCGATTTTGGAGAAAACGGTCTTGCCCTGTAATTGCAGTGCAAAATCGTGGGTGTGCGGTATTGGGTTACGGTCAGGTACTGTACTGAGTGCTCGGTAGTCACCACATGTTCGCCAATCACCAGTGGACTTCTTGGGGACCAAATGTAGGGGAGAAGCCCAACATGAGTTTGAAGGTCGGATGATTCCGAGTTGCAGGATATGGTCAAACTCGGCTTTGGCGATTCGCAGCTTCTCAGGGTGTGGTCGTCGCGGACGAGAGTGGACTGAAGGACCGGCGGTCGTTATGTGGTGCTCGACTTGATGTGGCACACTCGAGGCCGAATATGAGGGCTTAAGCAAGCTTGGAAACTTTTTGAT